ACTTTACTAAACATAAAATTCAACGAAAATATTGATAGTTACCTTCAAGGTCTATTTCTTAGAATCATAAGACTTCAAGGAAGAATAAAAACAGTCGTATGTACAGAAGGTGCAGGAAAAAGGCCATTTTGAATTTATATTCTTTCTGAAACCTTAACACACTCTTTATACATAAAATGTAATTACAATAAGATAATAATTGTAAATAATGTTTGTATTAAAATATGTTTTATTCAGCGTAGTCTTAGAATATGTATAAAATATAATCATAAATTATAATTATTATTCGCAGTGATATCATATCTTTAAACCAGCGCTACCTAAGTGCCTGCATAAAGATGGAGATCAGTGGAATATGATAGCAAAAACTACTAACAATAAAACGAAATATTAAAAAAAAAATATTCTAATGGAAAACGTGTGAAGTTGCACCTAAAGCGTAGCTACCAAATTATTAAGTTAATTTATTTTGTTTACTGACAATTTTCTTTTTGTTTTTGATCGCACGGTTGGTGCGTTGACTGGGCAACCGTTTGCCGCACAACGTGTCGCAGGTTCGATTCCCGCACGGAGCAACTCTTTGTGTAATCTACAAATTGTTGTTCTTGGTCTGGATATCATACACATGATATCCACATACACATGTGGACTTGTATGTTTGTAAACAGGAGAAAATCCTAGTAGCAACGTTAAATAAAAGACAATAATGTAATAAATCATACATTCCTACCTAAAATATAACACGAGCTTCTAATTAAAATTTCGACTAATTAACATATTTCTTGACTCTAAACTCAACGCTTTGCAAAGTAACATAACATAACCAAACAAAAATTCCATAAAATTAACGTATAAACGAAACAATTTGCTTTAATAAAGGCATAAAGTTTGCACTAAACCAAAACAATTTCCATATAAAAGAAGGCATTATTTAAATACAATTTATATTAGGTAGTGAGTGAGTTGCTGCAAAGGTAGGTGTTGACTGTACCTCTAGACTACGACACAAATGTCAAACATCAATGTCTGTACCGTTTACTCTTATACGAATGAAAAGAGAGCGACTGATGCGACACTAATTATCGTGTCACTATAAGCTTTGCAATTACAGACATTCGATTTATACAGTGAGTGTATGATGTATAGTGTTTTTTTATGGGATAAGCCGATAAACGAGCAGACGGATCACCTGATGGTAAGGACTGGTAATCAATCGTAGCACCTGGAACACCGGAGGCGTTACAAGTGCGTTACCGGCCTTTTGGGATTAGGAGTTTGACGATTGTTGGGGATTTGGGGAGACTAAGAAGGGGTGGTAATTGGGCTTCCAGTTACCTCACCCACACGACGAAACATAACGCAAGCGTTGTTTCACGTCGGTTTTCTGTGAGGCCGTGGTATCACCCATTCGTGTGGAAGCATGGCTATCCTACACTTATCAGACACAATTACAGTCAATCATAATTAGAGACACTTGTGTTCAGACATTCGATTTATACACTGAGTGTAAAATGCCTTAGTGTAAATATACCTTAAGTTTTGCGAGCTTCTGACACACACTACTGTTTAGTAGGAAGCTGACACAATCTGTGGCCTCTATGCATACGGTTAACCACAATATCGTACGTGCACACCTCTACTGGAAGTTCTCGTTTTAATCTCGAATTTGCTTATTTAAATTAGAGTACTTTTTTGAGGGATTTATTATTCTAGAAATACGTTGTTGTTGATGTTGTTCTATTAAATACGATTGTAACCATTTTATGACATATCGAGAAATGTAATTAAACATTGCTCTCCATTGAATTGAATGAATGTCATTTGAAAGATATTATTACTTAGTAATCAAGGAATGCAAAGTTTTGGTTGACTAGCAGTGATGAGCAGACTTTTATTTTTTTGATATTTTTCGGCTTCTTGAATTTTATAGCAATGTTTTAATAAAAAAGTGATCTGTTATCGCTTAGAAAGTAAAACCAATTTTGAAAAAAATATCACGTAGGACAACGTGGTACTCGCGAAGATCTTCGTAATATTTGCATAGCTCTTCGTAGTACTTGTGTAGCACTACGTAGCACTTGCGTAGTCAACGTAGACAGCAGAAGCGTAGCACATTCTAGATACGTTGCGTAGTAGGTTCGTAGTCGTCGCGTAGTAATTACGTAGACATTTTGATTGTATGTTACAATCTCCAAAACTCGTTTACAATCTTAAATTGTACACTTAGTTCTAAAACACAGCAGTTCTGTCTCAAATGTGTCAGTTGTGTATTAATTAATTCAATATTGTATAGACAAAATTTAAAAAAAATTCTCAATAGTAGCACGGAATCTGGAATTGTGCCCGGTACATGGCAATAGGCTCACCGGCTATTACATGGGACTCATAAATAGTATATACATGGACATAAATAGTGAAAAGTGGATGTTACATTGTGCAGTGGCATTATGTGCACCTCTGCCCACCCCTTCGGGGATAAAAATGGGGATGTTATGTTATGTTATGTATTGACAAACGAATGAAATCAACATTCTACGATGCGTACAAAAATATTGTAGTACCATTAAACTGTCAAACACCAAGCGGTCACCGGTGACCGCGACCTATTGTTCTTTAATTGTGTCTATAAAACCGGTACTCGACGAGTTAATATAAATTAGATAACAGACCATTTGAAAACTACTATCCCCTTATCCAGATAACTAACATAAAAGTAAGTTGAGATTATAAACTTAACCCACTTGTGTAACATACAAGTTTCCCCCATAAATAATATAGTTTAGAACTAAGTAATCTTAGCGATGAGATGCCAATAATTATGAGTACGATAGTAGGGGACTTGCGAAGCCACTTTCATAGCAGCAATAAAAAGTTTTCATTGGCCCACGTCAACTCCGACGGAGGTTTAACTTAAACTCAAGTTTATCTTGGTTTTATAACCCAACGGTATAAACAGCCAGGTGTGTTACAAAATCCACATATTTCTAATAAAAACAAAACTAAATTAAAGTTGATAGAAGTTTCCAGATTTTTTTGGTGGTTCAGTATTTTTTGCTGGAATTTAAGTTCTTTAGAAGGCTAAGAGATTTTTTGATGGCGCCACTGTAGATTTTGAGTCACTAGGGATGAAGTGATTGCAAGTGCAGTGTTAATAGAATTTACCTAAGAGAGATGTTGAATGTAAAAAATATCTCTATACTTCTGGGTACTTTCCCTATTGACGTTGATGCGGACGAATTTTTTGATGGTCTTTGTAAATACTTATTTTTAGTTTTCTTTTATTTAAAGCACTCCTTTTTCCTTTTAGTTTTAGTGTCTAGTAGCTAAGTTGTAGGTACATATTTATTCATTTTTACCTTTTCTAATATTGTAAATATCTAAATAATAAAGATGTATATTAAAAAATATGTATATATCCTAAAAGAAGACATTGTAGATATTCTTAACTAACACTGACACGATTCTTCTTGTATATATTGTAGATGACGCTGAGTGATTCACTTTGGAACCATAGACTAAGTTTTAGTGTCTTTTTGAGTTTATTTATACGTGATCAAATTAAATGATATGAAACCCATGTAGTATTGACTATCCTGGCGTTATCACATGACACAGAAAAAAAAGCAATAACACTACCATACAATACATTTATTGGTACTTCTACGCGAAGGCGTGTCGCCAGTACACGATTATGTAGGGAATCGAACAACAAATGTTAAGCTCACATCTTCAATTTACTCTACACACTTTAATACAACACATTACGGTTTAATATTGCTCATTCTAACAGCAAATGTAAGTTTGTATTTGTAATGTTACTGCGCAAGCGGGTGGAGCGTGGCGACTTGACAGATATTAATGATTCCTAGCTATGGCAATGATACTATGCTATTCAGCCTCTGCAAGGCCTTGTCTATGGCTAGGTACATCATTAGCTGTGGTTACGTACTCATTGTTGTATAATAATTAAATATATTTTAGTTGTTTTTTTTTTGTGTAGGTAATTAAATTTAATACTGGCGTTTATGATGGGATTTTTTTAAATTATGATTTGTGTGTTTTATTATTGTTTTGCTGTTGATTTAATTTCAATAATGTGTATCTTTTTTTTTAAATCGAGCGTCCAATTAACACTTTAACGATACAGTTCTAATTTGAAACGAATTTCTTGTACAGATATTAAAAGAAAAACCAAAATTTAGCTATTTTTCAAAATAAAAATTACGTACCCTATTCTAAGTCTGTATACACAACCCTACAAATAAACTTTCTTGAAATAAAATGTCTTAGAAACTCATTAAAACCGTTTATTACGGTATAAACGTGACGAAAAATTAATATTCACTTTTCATTTTTAATTGCGGCGGCCATCTTGGATCGTACGTCATTTCGTGACAGTTGTTAAACGGTTTTATATTATAAAAATTCTGTCACTGAATTATAAAAGAATGGGTCCTAGGTAAGTATTTATTTTTCTAACTAGCTTTTATAAAGCGTTGTTCATGCAATAGAGCTTAGTCGAAGTATTTTTTTCAGTTCTTCTAAGCTTTAAAATTCATAACTTAAGTCTAAACTTCTACTTTATTATAAATGTTTATTTTCCCTCCTTACATTGTTCCCAGAATTAAATCTCCCGCCATAATGTGCTAATTTAATCTATCTTCACACAATTTCATCAAAATCCATCGAGCAGTTTTCGAGAAACAAACACACACACACACAATTACTAGACGAGTAGTATCACTAGCATTGCAACACGTGTAACCACGGAAGGCCGGCTGGTTATTTACTTTAATTACTTTAAATAATTACAGATAGTTACGAATAAAATAATAATAAAATATAATTGATGGGGGACTTCCTTTTCCTCGCCTTACTAACTAGGGTGGGGACGAGACTGTTGTTCAACGAGACTGTCAGTGCTTTTTTGTGTAAGGGAGTGTATAACTGTATATGGTACAATCCCAGTGTAAGGTATTTTATTATTTTCATTTTCAGCCATGATCGTCCCACTGCAGGGCAAAGGCCTGTCCTTCCACTCCTTTCTATGTAAAGCTTTTTGCGGACAATACTTGTCATAGATGTCCAGTGTCCCGTCATCTCCTTTTGGGCTAGCTGCGACGTCTATTGCCGTTGGGCGAGCTTCACTCAGCAACTGAAAAACAAAAAAGACTATTTGTCACTTGTAGGCACACCGTCTTATGTAGAGAAGGTCCCTTGTTTAGTTGTGGCCTGTCACGTATTCTTAATCATTCTGGATGATTATTGTTTTCCTATATACAGCTACAGTTATCTATCTTACTTCTACAAAAAAGGGGACTCCGAACTGTACGAACAAAATTACTATTTTGTTTAGAATTTTTAGTTATTATTACCACTCTGTCTTAGCTTACCCTCTTTTACAGGGGATTGTAAACCGACAAAAGGTAGCCTGTACAATAGGTAGTACCTTCACTTGTGGTACGAAGTCTTCACAAATTATCCACTTAAAATTTCTCAAGAATCACTCTATTAACTGGCGAAAACCGCATACAAACGTGTTCAGTTGTTTTTGTGTTTATTGCGAACAAGCAGACTGCATGAGTACTTTTTGTTACATTATATTTGCATTAAATAGTATTTTAATTTCCCGTGTGACTTAAGATCTAATACATTTCTTAGGTCCTTCTATTGGAAACTTAATAACAACTAGTAGCCTGGGGATCCAAACCGAAGATACCCATAAATATTCCATAGACATAGTGTCAGATGTAGCCATAGTAAAAACTCGTTTTAAATAAATGTGCCTATATCAATATGCAGTATAAAACCATATTAAGGTTGTATATGCCATGATGGACATATAAATTAGTACAATGGTGAGGGGTGACTGGTAGCAATTCGAATAAAGCTGTAAGTACGCACTCACCTTTGATCGAAAACAGCACTTAAATATAGCGAGTTGCGTTTCAAAAACGCGTAAAAAGGTGTTTGGTAAGCCTTAATTATGAAGGTACGATACTCATATGAGATTGTAATAAAGTATCTGCATGAGAATATAAGTAAATACACGGGATTTATTCGTTATATTCTTTAAGGCGTGGCTATTTAGTTACTTCGGGTTCTTGATTTAAAAAAAAAACGCAAAAACATCGCTTAATGTTATTCTTGGAACGATTTTAAAAGTAGTTTTCATGCGCTTATGTGTAAATAAAATGGCGGATTTGACAGATTACTTTATGTCACAGTCATTATATTTGAAAACAATAACAGTTTTTGTTGAGAAGTGTTTGATTGTGGAACACAAAGTCGTGTCGTTGACAGCCATTTGAATTGTCTTTAGAGATAACTGTGTCAAAATTGTTTTCTATACAGCCAATACTTTTGATTACTAAAGAACGATTTTTCAATTATCATTTAATTTTGAACTGTAGAATAAAATTGGCATTTGGCAGTTTTTAGTATGAAAGAATTGTGAAATATTCAAAGTTTTTCCTCAGTTAAAATTTATGTGGCGTTGGAAAGATCGGCCCTACTTATGTTGAAAGGTTGAACCTACATGTTGTGGTTATTAAGTATTTCTTTTCCCTGGTGTCTTAGTGGTGTCTATAATGTTGCCCAATAGACACCTATTCCCAATTCCCCAATTCATTCGTCCACCTTTAACACTACGTTTTATTTTGTGACTAAATTATAATTATATTTTTTATTTAGTGTCAAAAGCAAATGTATTTGGAGCAAAACAAACGAACGTGATATTATTGATGATGATTAGGAAATCCAATCATCGAAATATTAAAAACGACCATCATTTAATGCCTAAGATAAATATAATAATTTATAGTCGTATTCAAAATGTCAGTTTTGGGGTTTAAGTTCAATTTAAGACGAACATTTTATGAATCGCCTTCCACATTTTATGGTGGCTATAATAATAAATCATATATAATCATATAAACTGAGTTTGCAAGTAAAACTTGAGGGGAAAATGACTCAACGTTTTGATTTAGGATTGAAGCACTAAGTTATATTTATGAAGGATTTTTAAGACCTTCAAAGATGAAAAAGTTCTTGGGTACAGTGTGCCTTATGCTAGTTTTTTGTTTTATCTGTCGAGTTTTTTTAAAACTATCTCGGAACTGCATTGAGTTCTTTATTATCTGTGGACTGAAAGTATTTTATAATGAACTATCTACTCGATAGCTCTATGCTCATCATCTTTACCATTTCAGGCAAAATATTATCCGCTGCTGAAATTAACCATTTCCCAATGACTTTCAGATTGGGGGGCTCATCCTCTGTTGTCTGTACTATCCACAAACTGCTGTGATAGTATGTTGCTTTTTCTAATAGTTACATTTTCCGGGAGAAAATCACCTAGAAATGAAAGAAAATAAACACTGAATTATGTGGACCATCCACTTCTACATTGTTATGTTCCTAATTACACGGAAAAACCTCAAAATAGGAAGTTCTGAACTTACCGAGAAACTGATAACCTAATTAAAACATTGTTTAACGTGGGAACAGAGGAACTATTGTTTACCAACAACTACTTAACGATATCTGCCGATGACAGGCATAATAAACCGATTAGATCCATCGCCCCCTACTACGCAGTATACAATTTATCCACATGCACAATGACAACTAAATCTAATCTACCAAGAACTGAGAAAACAATAAAATTAATCGCATGACGTTTCGCGCGTCCGGTGCGATATGGCGGCCCTAACAAGAGGCCATTCAGCCGAAACAATTGGTGCACACACTAAATGCGTATACATTGTCCCTTATGGTCGGGACTACGTGACCGAACGCAGAACTGCGCAGGAAGTGGACGGTGCCCGATAACGATATCACACTTAGTGGCCACTCTGTGTCGGTGTAAACAAAGCTTGGTTACTGGCTTAGCTTCTTACTGGCAGTTTCTCCCGCGCTTTAGCCGTCTAAAATTATAAGTTGTTTGTCTTTGACGTCTTGTGTTTTGAATTTAGAATTCGTTATTGTTTTGTTTTTTTTATTTGGCTTTTAATACTTATGGTTGACGTTGAATTTAGAATTCTTTATGGTTGTGTTTTGTTTTTTATTTTAATATGGTTGACGAATGCATTGTTAATTAATTCTTTTTTCAAATCGATGATATGTTTTGATGTTGAGTTTCTAGTCACATCAGATTAAACAAAATTCCTTGTAAATCTGTGATATCAGCCGCAATCGGCACATAACATAACATTATAGCCACTAAAAGAACACAATTTCTTACTTATTCCATACAAAATGACGACCATTAAAAACTAGTCATAAAATCGAAATATATTTCAGAGACGTTCCTAGTAAATATTTATTGGCCAATTACAAATCAGCGATTATCGTGTGCCGCGTTCTGATTGGTTGTTGGCACTTTCTAAAGTCGTGGTGGAGTTGGGTTGTACCTTTTACATTGTATTGAACAATTATATCTTCGTATGATGTGCATGGAAATGGGATAATGGCGAATGTGATGTCACGTTTATACCGAGAAGATAATATTTCTAGATAATCATGTTACTGGTTTGTCGTGATACTCGTGTTGTTGCTGAAAAACAACCCTTGCTTTGTTGGTGATAAAATTCATTTTTATAGTGTGTCGTAAAGTAGATGATTGTATGGCTAAGTATTTACTACATTTTTTTCCTTGTATCGTGTGTTGAGAATTGAAGCCTTCAGATATAGTATAGGGATATTGTCTACATATTTATCTTAAGCTTTTATTTTATTTTTCTGATCTGTCTTGAATGGCCCCAGGATACAAATCGGAAGATCTTTAAAGGAGAAGAAAAAGGAACAGTTTCCATTGCCATCGATTTTTTTTTCTTAGCAGGGGACAGTAGAACTTATAAGGGTTAAAAGCATTGAACAGATATGTTTGGAATTCTAGATTATAGGGTTACTAAAACACAATAGGGATCGGTATCTAGTTGTTAGTTGCCAACCTGTGACAGAGCTGTCTTTATAAAAAAATCCTTACCTTTTAAGCTTTTAGTTAAATATCAATTGAAAAAGTAATTAAATATATATGTATATGTATACAGTAAATAAGGAGCAGTTATGGTAATAGTACCTATATAAAAATACTGGGTTTTTCAAAAAAAATCTCAGTAGTAGCACGGAGTCTGGAATTGTGCCCGGTATATGGCAATAGGCTCACCCCCTATTACATGGGACCCATAACATAAATAGTGAAAAGTGGGTGTTACATTGTACAGTGGCATAATGTACACCTCTGCCTACCCCTTCGGGGATAAAACGCGTGATGTTATGATGTTAATAGAAGGAAAAAATCATGCAAGTTTACCGTCGCAAATATACGTCACGGGCGGTATGGCCCGGAAACATGAGTCGCATATATGTATTATATGCGATACAAGCAGTTAAACTGTCAAACACCAAGCGGTCACCGGTGACCGCGACCTATTGTTCTTTAATTGTGTCTATAAAACCGGTACTCGACGAGTTAAAAGGTTAAACAAGAGTCTATCACATAATCACTAAGAATGCGACACACCATGTTAAGTTTTTAACCGATTTTCCACAAAGGAGGTTGTCAATTCAGCCCATATTTTTATGGTACAGCACCTACTAAAGTTGCTTGCCATAATTGTGAAAACATTCCAATGATGGGAATGGGGATCTCATCGCTTCGCTTTTTCAAGTTAAAGATAATGTAAATAAGAGAAAAGCAACATGCGTACTTCTTCAAGTGCCTTCGCCTAGATTGGAGTTATTTAGACGGAATTGTGTTTATATGGCTCCTTTAATTTATAATACGTTGCCTAAATCTATAACTGAACTTCCGTATAAGAAATTTTGTAATGTATTAAAGCAATGGCTAATTAAAGAAAATTACTACTCAATCCACGAATTTTTAGAAAAAAACAAATGTAAATCTTTTAGTTTTAAAGAAAGAAATAAATAAGAGCAGTAAGTGTACTTAGTTTATGAACCAAAATTGTAGCCTTCATGTATTTTATTTTAATCTACAGTAAAGATTAAATGTACCCAATTTGCATGCCAATAATGGTAAATGT